AAAATGGGCTGGGCAAGGTGGCTCATGCCTGTAATCTCAGCACTTTGGGAGGCTGAGGCGGGCAGATCGCGAGGTTTGGAGTTTAAGAGCAGCCTGGCCAACATGGTGAAACACCTGTCTCTACTAAAAAAAAAAAAAAAAAGAAAATTAGCTGGATGTGGTGGTGCAAGTCTGTAATTTCAGCTACTCAGGAGGCTGAGGCAGGAGAACTGCTTGAACCCAGGAGGCAGAGGTTGCAGAGAGCCGAGATGGTGCCACTGCACTCCCCACTAGGGGACAGAGCAAGTATCCATCTAAACACACACACACACACACACAAACACACACACACACAAAACAAACAGAAGAAAATCACATTTGGTTATCACCATGGGGTCCTCAATTTCTGCCCTAAGAGAAATCACAAGGGTTCTGAACACATTCCTTGTAGTTACTGTTCCTGAGTATAGAGGCTCACGGGAAGCCTCTGACTTCAAACCTCTCCATCCTCTACCTCTAGCCATCAAGTAATGCTGCTGGTTCAGGGGCTTGGTACCATTGGTACCATCCAACAGATGATGCTTGAAGCTATGGAGGTAATAGCTGGGTGTGGCTCAACACTGCTTTTAATAGGGAATGAAGAACATGTGAAGCCCTAAGCCAGTCTGTGAACATTCTGTAATCCCAAAGATTTACCTCCGTGTGATGAATGCAATCAAACATGCTCTAGGGCAGAGATGAAAAGTATCCCTGACTTTGCCAGGCCTTAAGGACACTGTTCAATAAATATTAACTGAATCAATGAATAAATACGTATTGGACGGGACTGTATATATTTGTGCCGAGCAAACAGTAAAACCGCTGATTTGCTTCAAACCTTGGAATAACCCTTGGAAACCTTCTCCTTCGCTATCAATACCTTTGTGACGTTAAAGTTCTCTTCACCAGGACTCGGCAGAAAGCTCACCTGAAAACATTGGCTCTGAATGTGGGAATGACTCCATTAAGCCACTCAGTCTGCAATCCCTATTTTGCAAATAGAATCCCAATTTACAAAATAAATTGTTGTCACTTGGGCTGCAAAATTCACAAAATAAATCGTGATCATTAATAAGAGTTAATAGAATAAAGTCAGAAATCATTGACAACATTGAGATATTATTTCTTTTCTTTTTTTTTTCTTTTTGAGATGGAGTCTTGCTGTGTTGCCCAGGCTGGAGTGCAGTGGTGCGATCTCAGCTCACTGCAACCTCTGTCTCCAGGTTCAAGTAATTCTCCGGAGATGCCTCAGCCTGCTGAGTAGCTGGGATTACAGACATGCACCACTGTGACCGGCTATTTTTTGTATTTTTAGTAGAGATAGGGTTTCACCATATTGGCCAGGCTGGTTTCAAACTCCTAACGTCAAGTGATCCGCCTGCCTCAGCCTCCCAAGTGTTGGGATTACAGGTGTGAGCCAGCGCGCCTGGCCCAGAGACATTATTTCTTTCCAATTCATGAGAAGTACAGATACTCTTAGACCCTCTCCTCATACATCTATCAAAATAACTTGAAGATTTCTCTGTCAAAATATTGGACCCTTCTGCCAACCAAACTGGAGCTCTAATTTAGGAATAGTTTAATAGAAATGGACTGAATGTTGAGGTGGGAGAATCGCTGGAGCACAAGAGTTCGCGGCCAGCCTGGGCTACATAGTGAGACTCTCTCCACCAAAAAATGTAAAAATAAATTAACTGGGTGTGTGGCACATGCCTGCTAGTTCAAGTTCTAGGAAGGCTAGGTGGGAGGGATCACATGAGCTCAGGAGGTCCAGGGCTGCAGTCGAGCCTGATCATGCCCCTGGCATTCCATCTGCGGTGACCAAAGAGACCCTGTCCGTCAAAACCAAATTTTTTTTAATTAAAAAAAAAAATATATATATATATATACAACACACACGCACACACATAACACACAGAAGAATACTGCATATGATTATACAAATTGTACAAAATTATCATGTGTGATCACTGGAAGACTAGTGTAACATATACACGTGTCAATAAAAGAATATTTTAAATAATGTAGTAAATATAAAAACACGAAAAATACTTTCTGTAGTATGGTGGTAAGGTAGTGAGTATAGGTGTGTGTGTGTGTAAAAAAAATATGATAAAAAACAAATGTAGTAAACCCATATAAAAAAAGGAAAAACATACTGTTACAATTTTCAAATGCCCTGAACTAGAACACCAGTAGGTATGTCGACCATACAATTTCAGGTCCAAAAAAAATTACCTCTTTCCTGGAGGAAATGCTCATATATTTGCACAGCCAAAAGAATGTTTAAAAGATTCAGTAGGGGTACGAACGTATAACAGGTGGGCATGTTTTCAAAGTTTTCCAACATTCCAACCCATCACATATCGAATCCATACCATAATGACCCTTCTGAGTCCAACCAGTGAAAGAGAACATAATCGTGACGTGGTGGACAGCCTGTTAAGTCCCAGCAGCACTTTGGGGAGGACCGAGGCCAGCTGCTCAGTCCCAGGGAGTTTAGAGACCAACAAACAAAGGGCAACAGAACCACCCATCCCTACAAAAAAACAAAATTAGCCAGGCGTGAGTGGCGTGGGCCTGAAAACAATAACAATACTTCAGTGAGGCCCTTAAGTGGGAGGATCGCTTGAGCCCTCGCGAGGTGGGAAAGGCTGCAGTTGACTGGTGATCATGACAATACACCACCCTGGGCAACCACAGCAAGAAACCACTGTTCTCAAAAAAAAAAAAAATAGAACATAATCTCCAAATCTAACATAAATACATTAAAGGAATGATAAATAAAGGAGAAACTACAAAAAGAACAATTATCAAAACTAATAACAATCACAAAAAAGAATACAAAAGGGGTCCTAGTTGGTTAATTTCCCTCTTACCTTCCCAAGATTAAAAATTAGTGAAAATGAAACAAAACAAAATTGGAAGCATGTTTGAAATTTTAATTTCTATCTTTTTAAAAAAGCTTATGGACTGGTTTGTGGTGGCTCACGCCTGTAATCCCCAGCCTTTTGGGGAGGCTGAGGAGCCGGCTGTGGCATCACCTGATAGGTTGGGAGTTTTGAGACCCAGCCTGACCAACATGGGAGAACCTAACCGTCTCTACTAAAAGATACAAAATACCCGGAGCGTAAGTTGACATGCCTGCGTATTCCAAAGCTTCTCAAAACAGGCCAAGGATCACATCAGAAGCCTACCCATACACAACACACTGAAATATGCGTTCCCGACATGGGTTACAGAGCAAGACTCCATCTCAAAAATATAAAAATAAAAAAAGGCTAGTGGACCCAAATACTCTGGCAACTACAAATTTCCCATCAGTATTACCCTATTCAAAATTTGAAAGTGGAACACCAATTCAGCCTTCCTAAAAACACTTTGAAAACTTTGATCTTCAACATCACTGAAGAGAAATTCACACCCTGGGCAATATATCAAGACCTTGTCTCCACAAAACAATTTAAAAACCAGCCAGGTATAGGGCTGCGCGCCTGTGGTCCCAACTACTCCAGAGGCAGAAGTGGGAGGATTGCTTGAGCCTAGGAGGTTGAGGCTGCAATGAGGTGTGATCACATCACTGCACTTCAGCCTGAGGGAATAGAGTGAGACCCTGTCTGAGAAAAAGAAAAGGAAAAAAGAAAAATGCAATTCAGGTAGCAAGGCAAAGCTCTCCTATTTTAGAAAGGGTTGTAAACTGAGAGTACTTTAAAAATTCTTTCCAATCCCCGATTAGACGAGGTAGGGGAAATAGAGCCTTACTTAGTTTATTACAGAGCATTGCCCTAGCATGACTCAGCAAAATATTGGTAAGGTACTGTGTTTCCAACGTTCACTCAGCCATTAATTAAATGCTAGGAGTACTTATGCGCCTCGATTTCATGCTGCTCCTCCTTACAATTCGCTAAGGTTAGGGTAGAGTATACAAGAGGAAAAGAGCTTAGAGAGGTTAATAGCAGACGCGGAGTTCAACCCCAGGTGTCTGCAGTTCCAAGCCAGAGTGTAATCTGTTAAAACTCTGCGTTCCCCCAAAAGGGTGATCCCAGCACAAATGATCATTCTGATTTGGGGGTGCATTTCCCATGGCTAGCAGCCCCTCATGCACGTCTATGAGTCATCCCATCTTCCACTTCCCCCTTCATGGAGAATTTTGACGGTGAGCGGAAACTGAACCAGAAAAACTAAAACTGGCTGGGCGAGGTGCGCTCACGCCGTGTGAATCCCAGCACTCTTGGGGGAGCCCGAGATGGGCCAGATCACTTGGAGGTTAGGAGTTTGGAGGCCAGTCTGCGCCCACATGGTGAAAACGCGTCTTCATTAAAAAATGCACATTTGGGAGGGACATTGCAGTTGGAGTTAATACCTGATGGTAAGAGCGACGTTGATCGGGGGCCTGCAGCACACCAACATGGCACAAGCCTTTATAGCATATGTAACAACTGGCACGTTACTGCACATGTACGCCCTATCAACGTTAAAGTATGAATAAGATAATAAATAAGATTTTTAAAAAAGAATGCAATAAATTAGGCGGCGTGTGGTGGGTACATTGGTCAATCCCAGTCCCTCCTGTGGGTAGGCTGAGGCAGGGAGAATCGCTTGAACCTGGAGGATGCGAGGTTGCAGTGGAGCTGAATAGTTGGCGCACTGCAGCACTACCGCGGCGCGCTGGGATAAGAAGCTCCGCATGACTCTGTCTCCAAAAAGAAAGAAAAAAAAGAAAGAAAGAAAAGAAAAAGAAAAAGAGAACAATCTTCACTTAGTTGTTTCAGGATGTAAATAGGAGTTCTGGGTCCCGCTACCCCTCGTCACCAGTGTACGAAGGCTTCTGGTAAACAGGTGCTAGGAAAGCTGTTTGTCAAACTAGTCTGGAAATCACACCTGGGACGCAGCAAAAGACTTCTGATAAAACAGGAGGCCTTAGCTCTCAGGCTGTCTGTTCCTTCCTGACCACTAGCATCCTCATGGTGGTGGACCAGCAATGGCAATAAGGCATACCAGGGGTAGTTTTGTGCTTTCTGGTGGGGTCTGTAGAGAATGGAAAAAGTGAATCCAACTGCTGTCAAGAATAAGGTTTCCAGAAGGGCATAGGGGTAGCTCTCTTCATAGATGGTGGCGTTGCTCTGACCTCAGACCTGTTAGGAAAGCCCCACCAACGAGCCCTTTTAGGGAGAGGTTCCCTGCCATGTGGGGGCGACAATCTGTGTTCCCAATCCAAGGTCAGGCTTAAGACCCATAGAGACTTGTCCCCCAGTTACCACCCCGAT